TCGCGAACATTGTGAGAAAACCGATCCCATTGAACGCGAGTAACCGCAGCAAACCGTGTTTACTAACCGTCTCGAAACTAAACTACGAAAATCGATATTCCAATACGCGTCACAAGCGAAACGAATCGCGATGCAATGATTTAAACTCACATCTCTAGTTGCAGTGTGGTACTTGACTTTTCCGTATACGCACATTCGCGTTGAACGTGTGTCAACCATTTTTTACTTATACTTAGGAACCTTGTGAACCATTACGTAGCGAACCCTTTCACGATTCACCAACGATTATATATATATATATATGTGTGTATGTATATATATATACATATATACATATATATATATCTTTATATCGCCTGCCACGATATCTCACACCGTATTATTACCCGTATTACCCGAAGAGAAAACCACCCTTGACGATTCAACCGATTCACACACCGAACGCACTCTTACACACTGTGTCACTTATCGCGGTACTTGTTTATCGTTCTTGCAACGTATGTATATGACACACCATATGATTGTACCGACTTTCTAAGTTCTCTCTTCGATCCTTCTTCCAGTGTTCACACGCTCGCTCTTTTTTTCCACGTCGATTTTCCAGATACGATACGATAACGATCGATCTTTGTATCGCGATGGGAAACTATATATATATATAGAATCGTATCTTCATCAACCCGAGCATTCTCTCCTTACCGCTTGCTCGATTACAAAAAAATACTAACCATCTTAATTAATCGTTTCGTTCTTTTACGTTCTTTTATCTTATTTCTTCGCCTCGTCGCATTACGGTGTTGCGATCGAAGTGTGTATCACCAATACTCTTTTAAAGATGTTCTTCGATTGTTTTTCATGGTTCGATTAGTGCCAAACAATTTTTGCGAATAAATCCAGTTTTAATCGTATATTTAGAATCATTTTTCTTCGGTACATTTTTTTCTCTTTCTTTTTTCTTTTTTTTTACATAGACGGAAATCCTCGTCTTCCACGAAACGTTATCGTAGCGAACTTGATTAAACGACCTTTTATAAACTTTTTATACGTGTTATACTCTGAAAGGATTACATAGAACAAAAACGTAGTTTCTTCGATTTTTTTTTTTCGGAAGAGACAGCATTTCGATTCTACATTCTCACGTGTCGTTGGTTCTTTTTCAATTTTTATAAAGTTTGAGTGTAATATTCGAGAAGCGGGTCGAACTGAAATGAAACGATCGAAATGAATTTAAACGGATGACGACGGAGGGAAGCGAGGGTTATTCGTTATTATAACTTGACAATGATAACGCGTGTCCGTCGTGTTGGCGCTCCTCCAATTTGTAATTTATACTTTTTTTCGATCGTTTATCGATATGACGTATATTTGTTAACTTTCTCTCTCTATATACATATATATATATGTATATATATACATGTATATTATATATATTATATATAAATATATATATATGTATGTATATATTTATATACAAGTATCTATACATATATATATATATATATTTACACACAGCATGTGCAAACATATGCTGACACATTCACGACACATACACAATATAACACACTGATACAGGATATCGATAATACGCGGTGATTTCCCCTTTGAAGATATATATCGAAATTCAATTGTGATTCAAAGAATACAAGGAAAAAAAATGGAAAGAGGGAATCACGGCGTTGGAGGGAAGGGAAAACGACATTTCAAGCGTAGGAAATCTCTATTGTACATTAATTATTGATACATTAATTATAATAATAATAAATTATATACAAAGTCATATAGCCAGAGATTCTTCTGTGATTCCGCTTTTACGTTTTTTCGATATTTTTCGTTTCAATCTCTTCAACGATCTTTCCCTTTTTTTTTTTTTTTTTTTTTTTCTATCGATATTAGGTTTTTTTCTTTCGATTTACCGTTCTCTCCTTTCTCTTTCTCTCTCTTTCTCTCTTTCTGATTCTCCTATCCTTTTCCTTTTATATAAAATTCAACGTTATTATTATTATTACTTATTAATTTGTATACTTATTAATCATTAATTATTATTAATAGAGATATTTCCCATTCCCTACGCGTCGTCCTTTTTCTGTTCTTTATTACCGTATCTTTTTATCGCACTCCCGGATTCGTTGGTCGACCGGATGACAATACGATGTGTGAGTAATCCCTAACAGTGCCTTTATCTTTAATGTCAATGATATGTTATTATTACTATTATTTGCCGTTGTTTCGACGATTTTAATAATGGCACTATTTTCTTTCTTCCGTTCAAGAGTCTGTGGATGTACTTAACGAATTAGTTTCGCATCTTACTCGTTTATAGTAGTGGACACTTGGATATATTTTCGTTATAATTCGACGCAAAGAATGGAATGGCTTCTTCTAGTCTTTTATCAAAAAAAAAAAAAAAAAAAAATTAGGATGTTTTTTATTTGCCTGAGATTACACGCTGTCGAAAATAATCGTGACTGTGTGCACATCGTAGGATTTTGCATGAAACGAACGTTCCCTCTTCCTCGAAATTTATTCTAATATTTAACAAAGGTATTATTATTATTATTTTTCAAATTATTCTAGCTATTTATATTAGCTTTTTAGACATTAATTTTCTTATATATATATATATATATATATATCATAGTTATAGCATCGATTTGCGGCACGAGAAATTAACAACGTAGAAATTAGCTACATAGAATTCGTTTGAGAAAGAATAATAGTAGATCTTTTTTTTTTTTTTTTTTTTAAACGCATTCCCCTGCACGATCTTCGTGTATGTGTATATATACCACTTCGAGCAAGTACAAAAAGTTTTTGCGGTTTTGTAACACGATCATAATTTTCCATCTGGCCTTGATATTTATGGATCTCACTGAACACGTGGTCGTCAAAGAACCTGACAGTATCGAATTTCAGTGGAGCCACACGTTATGCATGTACGTTAAACGGTTTAAAACCGCCGCAACTTTCGAAACGATTAGTCTATTAAGAAAGAACAATTTATTCCATCCAAAAACTTTTTCTCTATTTTTCTCTTTATTTTTTTTCTCTCTCTCTCTATTTCTGTCTTTCTCTCTCTTTCTTTTTCCTCTTTTTTTCTTTTTCTCTCTTTTTCATCGTTGTTGCGAAATTCTAGCAGGTTCTAACGGTATATGTTTAATTAAAACAATTTCGACCTAAAGTCAAAAGAGGCCGATAACAGTGCACCGTATATTAGCATGCGATTCGAGCTCAACTTTTTTCCTCGACCTCGTTCATTTTGTTATCATTTTCTTTTTTTTTCCCCCCCCTTCTTTTTCACCTCCTCAATTTTTATTATCAAATTCTCTTTGTTCGAATCGAAACACGCGACACCCGATTACTACAAGGATACTTTCTCTTACTTGTCTTCGTTTACAGATACCGAGACAGATAAACAGGGGACACCGGCCAAGAGGCAACAGGAGAACAATAACTCGGTTTTCGCCAATGAGAAATCCCCCGAGAAACGGACGAACGGTATCGTAGTGGAAACGAGTAACGCCAGTATGGTGAATACCCCGGATCTGAGCCCGGTGAAAAATATAAGGAACGGGGAGGTCGAGGATACCGAAGTTCGAAAAACTAAGGTGATCTTTTATTCCATCATTTTCCATTTCCATCGTAACAATTTTCGTAAACACGTTCGTTGTATGAATTTTCTTTTCAATAAACAGAGATGGCCAACCGACAAGGCGTACTATATAGCCAAGGAATTACTTATGACCGAACGAACATACAAAAAGGATCTCGATATGATAAATGTGGTAACTTGTTCAATTCTTACACGTTGTTGAATTATTCTTTCGATTAACTCGCTCTTCTGTCATTTATTATTATTATTATTATTATTATTATATACATTATATATTTTATTATATTTTTCGCAGAGGTTCAGGGAGGAGGTATCTCGGGAGGGTAAATTGGAGGGGGAGGCGGTGGTTTCGCTGATCGAGCTTTTGGCGGATGTTCACGGACCTTGTCTTCAAGAGATGGAGGCGAGATTAGAACGATGGGAGAGCAACGCGCGTCACAACATAGGCGATTTCCTTTACAACACGTTGTTGAACGTGCTGCCCCTTTACGATCAATATCTCGAGAATTTGATACCCGTCCTCGAGAAGATGGAATATTACACGAGGACGTCACGTCGTTTCGATCAGCTGTGCCGCGATTTCGAGGCCCAGAAGCATTGTTATTTACCGCTTACCTCATTCCTCTTGAAACCATTGCAACGGTTGTTGCATTATAACAGTATTATCGATAGTACGTTCAAATCAATTTTTCTTCCTAAATAATAATAATAATAATAATTCATCTATTTATACGTTACCGTGCGTTACGGTCTGGGGACGCGCATCACGAACCATCCCATTTTCTAGGGTTATTAGATCATTATCCGAAAGATCATACGGATTTCGAAGATTGTTTGGCGGCGAGGGATCGATTAGGAGAAACGTTGCTCGAAGGACTTAGCATAATTAACCAAGCGGTACGTATCGACGGTATTTCGTATTTAAACGATCCTCTGCAATTATTGGAAAGTATTATATAATTTAATCGTTCTTAAATTTGGAATTGTTTTTAAATTTTATTATTATCAAAATAAATTAAATTAAATAATTAGAATAATTTATATAACATATAATCATTGTATATACTTTCTAATAAAGAAATAAAGAGAGGAAAATATTATATAATTATTGTACAATGTAAAATCATTTTATGTTAAATTTATAACACACTCACATATATGGTCGAGTGCAAAGGGTTTAAATCTATAAAATTATTATAAAATATAATTTATTATTATAAAATATATTTATTATAAAATTATTAAATTATTATTTATTTATATTATTTAATCTTTTAAATGCTTCTTTTTAATTACATAATTATAATTGTAGGAAAATCTGGTTCAGCTTTGCGAAATGCAAAGGGACATCAGCGGTTTCGACAATTTGGTGCAGGAAGGACGTAAGTTTATCAGGCAAGGTTGTTTGCAAAAGTACAGTCGTAAAGGTTTTCAACAAAGGATGTTCTTCCTGGTAAGTTTCCAAAGAAGACGAACATGCTCCTTTCTCTTAGCCACAACTTTTTTTTCCTTCTTCTTCTTTCATTATTTCTAGTTTTCCGACATATTGTTGTACACGTATCACACCCAACAACCAACCCAATGTTTTCGCGTTCACGATCAATTGCCGTTAAAAGGGATGAAGATTCGTGATAGCGACAACAAAACTGGGTCGGAATTTGCGTTCATAATCGACGCCCAAGGAAATCAGTGAGTACCCCTCTGTTGGACTGTTGTGCTCCGTTCAAGTAAATTATTGGATGTAACGAGGTGTTAAAAGAACGAGGCCTGTACGATTATTAAGAGGTCAATTGACTGTATAGACTTCACTTAACCGCTCCATTCTTCCAATGTGAATACGCCAGACACCGTGTAATTTGAACATTTTATCAAGTAGTAGTCATTGACCGTAAAAAGACAGCTTCTTTTGTTCATAATCGTTACATTTATTTTTTGCTTTTTTATTTCTGTATTTTTTTTTATTACTTTTATTCCTTACGAGTGCCCAATGATTTATCTAGATCCTTGATAATCGCTGCTACTAACGAGGAAGAAAAGGAAAGATGGTTGGAAGACTTGAACATGGCTATCGTGCAAGCTGATACCGATCCAAAGATGCCATATTTGAATTTAAAGTCTTGCAGTAAGTTTCATCAAGATCTTTTAATGATATCGAGTAGAATTATCTGATTTTTTGTTTGATATTTAAACAAATTTTAGATTCAGCCGATGAACTGGGCGATGGTATTGGATTAGAAGCGGACCGAGGAAGTTGCGGAGGTGCTAAAGCCTCTCAACGAATCAACACGACTGTACACATGTGTTGGCATCGTAACACGAGTATCAGTTATAGCGATCAGTTGCGAGCGTTTCAAGTAAGTAAAGAAGAAAATGTTTTTATCGACGCGTCCAAGAAATACGGAAATAAATAAATAAATAAGTATTTATTTTAGAATCAACTTAGTGGATTTCTATTAAGGAAATTCAAGAATAGTAATGGCTGGCAAAAGCTTTGGGTCGTCTTTACCAATTTTTGCTTGTTCTTTTATAAATCTCATCGAGACGACTTTCCATTGGCTTGTTTGCCATTGTTGGGATACACGGTGACCAAACCATCGGAGAAGGATGGTATCAACAAAGATTTTGTTTTCAAGTTGCAATTCAGAAATCACGTTTATTTCTTCCGTGCTGAGAGCGATTACACGTTTGGACGGTAAGAATAATTACGAAAAGAATATAAATTAAAAATTTATCCTGCAAAATTTTATAAACGAGTGACAAATGTGTGTTTTTTAGGTGGGTCGAAGTGATTCGAAGCGCGACATAGCAAAATCACATTTTTTCAATGGAAAAGAAGGATATTAATATACGTGTTCTATACAATTCCAAGTAATGAAACATATGAATCGAATATCTTATATACATTACGAATTTTCAAAGTGTTTTTCATTTGGTATTAAAAGTCGAGAAATTTCAAGAGGTTAGGAGGGAAATTTGTTAGCAATAAATTTATCAAAACTTTGCGGCCTTATTTTTGGGACTGAAATTAAATTAATTAATATGATTAATTATTATATGATTAAGATTGTAATCGACAATCAAATTGAAATTAATTATCAAATCAAAAAAATATCAAAAGAAAAAAAAAGAAAGAAAGAAAAAAAAATGTAAAGACTGCGTAAAAAAAAAATTGTAAAATTATAAAAAGACGAAAGTAAGATGTCTTATATAGAGGAAATATTATACCGATGCCTTTACCTGGATATTTTAAAAAAAAAATTTTATCAATATAAATTCATTCTTATCAATTTTTTTGTATTTAGATTACTATGAGGATATAAGAATAATAACTGAAATGCAAATATTATTGCAAAGATCGTATTTAATTGGAATTTATATCGACGAATATAATAGACGAATCTAAATATGGATGATTAAATTTCGATATCAATGGTGAAAAACTAGATATAAGTATTGGACCAATTTTATAGTAGAATTATTTTAGCCATTCGCATTTTGAAAAAAGACAATAATTTTTTTTAGTATAAAAGAGCTTTTTTGTTATTAAATTAATAGAAGATATAGAGAAATTATTTCTCATATATTCAACATTTCGTAATTTCATGATTCTTTCTTTTTATTACTTATCGTAAACTTTTTTAAAGTTCTTTTACGATCGATCACACAGAGAGTAAGTAAATCTATTTGATAAAAAATACACTATGTGTGACGATTTTCTATGCGTATTTAAAAAGAAAGAATTCATGCAATAATGTGAATTTACATATCTTCGCGAGCGATTTATCAGCGCGAAAAAAGTCCGTAATTTAATGGTTATCTGTTTTTTAGTTGCAATTATAATTGTTTTGTTATAATATAGAATTTAATTTATACATATATATTATATATATATATATATATATATATATATATAAATCAAAAACAAATTAGTTTTATACTTGAAGAATCGTATTCATATTCGCGCACTGGATATTGCGCCTCGAATAGGAGGTTATGTTTAATAGCTTTTCGAAATGCTCGTGGAGAAAAGCATCGTTCAAAAAGTTGCCAAACTTGTACGTTTATTTAAAAAAAGAAAATTGTATTGTTTTGATTTATATATGTTTCATAACATTGATTCGAAATAAATTATGTTATGTAACATTATGTATCGATAATATTCCGTAATAAACGTACATTACAATACTTTTGAAACATTATTAATATCAATTATAACAACGGAAATTATACCTCAACTCACAAATTACTATTCATAAACTTCTTTAGATTACGTGTGTTATATCAATTTTGCATGTATAAATCATGTTTTTTTTTTCATGTAATTATCATTTCTTACTTTTATAGATGTCTGAAAAAAAAGGATATACTTGAACGTAATACTACAATGTACTATATTCTAATAAGGTAAATAATTTTTTCAATCGTATAGAATATGTGTTGGAAATACCCATAATAAAATTACAATCGATCGTACGCGATATGCATTAATCGTTTCCACGTTATCATTGATTAATAGTGAATTCTCATTAAATATCGTAATCGAAGCTGGTCAAACAAGTTTTTAACGTGAGAATTACGAATATAAACTATCGTTGTACCGAGAGTAGATAATAATCGGTCCTTTGGTAACTGCGAAACACAGAGAGTTACGTTTCCGCGAAATAAATTATCCGGGTGGATTAAAAATGCAGAGTATAACTATGTATCGTATAATTATCATTATATATATATATATACATATATATATATGAAATGGATAATATGTTATTAGATTTAGGTCAATGTCTAACTCCTAAGGTTATCGGCATTTCTATTCGCGTGTACAAATTTTTATCGAGGATCGATCGTTGCTCGATGGGGATTTATTTCCCGATTAATCAATCACGGTAACAATTTTTTGTTTGACGATTTTTTTTTTTTTTTCAGTGACGAGATTCGCCTTCACCGATGTTCAAAAATATTCTACGTCTCTACGCTATGTTATTAACATTGCTTGCACAGCAAAGCATGATCATTGAACGAAAAAAACATACGCGAAATTTCCAATGACGTAATCTTAGCCAGCCAGTTGGTTTTACCGATCATTATCCTTTGTGTTTTTTTCGTTCCCATCGAGAGATGCCCTGTTCCTAGGTCACACGATGAAATTAAATTTACATTGTTCCTGCTGAAATTCTATATAAAGGATAAAACGAACAATGCTTCTAACATCCTGTTCCACGTGTCTTCAATCGATTCAATGTTACTGTAAATGAATTTATCGAAAAAGTATTTGGTCGAAGGATATAGAAGAAAGTATGAGAATTCCAATGCTAGTTATATGTAGCTTCAAGGATTTTGAAATCGATTGTAACGTAGGTAGAAAAATAGAGAACATATTTCTTTGTTTCATTTTATTCAAATACGTGGATGAAAAATTAGAATTTAATAACTTTGAAGTTATAGACGAGTCAACGATAACAAATTTAAACAATGAAAAATATAAAGGATACGTTATTATGATGAGGATCTTCGAGTTGATTCCATGTTCTGACAAGCGGATTTGATGATTAGACGTGTTCATCATTGATTACCTTGGCCGACCGTTATTTTTTTGCACTCTTTGAACTGTTTTATACTTGGAAGTGCGTTCGAAGAAACGGGAATGGTTACAGGAAGAAGCGCGAGAAATTAGAGTGGGAGGAGCGATATAAAGATGAGCGTGTTGCGAACGATCGGAATAGAAGAATAGATCCGACATCATGTGGAAATATCGAACGATCGGACTTTTTGCCTCACTGGCTTTTCTCTGTATTCAAGCACAAGGTATATTTTCTTCATCAATTGTATTTAAATTAAATTTATATACACACATATCTTGTCTTTCATTACCTTTTCTATTCATTCTAATTTTTTGCAATGATAATCTATTATGCAATAATTTTGCCATTTAAAAGCTTATTTCCATATTACGATATTTCCAACAAACTTGGAATATTATAATTAATTATTTCTTAACTTATAATTATTAACTTTCAGCTGCAGATATCATAGTGAAACGTCATTCTTTCGGATTTGACGATACCCTAACTTCCCATGGCAAACAATTTCTCTCTAATTTGCCTGGATTAGGCGGTGGATTAGGCGGTGGATTAGGCGGTGGATTAGGCGGTGGATTTGGTGGAGGATTTGGTGGAGGATTTGGTGGTGGCGGTGGTGGTGGTGGAGGAGGAGGAGGCGGAGGTGGATTTGGTAGCGGTGGTGGATTTGGCAGCGGTGGCGGTTTTGGTAGCGGTGGTACTAAAGGAGGTTGTTCCACTGGAACATGCGGAACCGGTGGCGGTGCCGGTGGTGGAGCTGGTGGCATAGGAGGATATGGCAAACCTGGATGTAGTAGCGGAAATTGTGGCGCCGGAGGTGGCGCTGGAGGTGGCGCTGGAGGTGGTGGCGGAGCTGG